ACCCTCTCAGCCCTCCCAGGTTCCCTGGGGACAGCCTTCCTCCCATAAGTCCTCCCTTCCCGCTCCCCGTCTGTTTGGCCTACAAGAGCCAGGAAGCTTGTTCAGGGCAGCATTGTCATCGTGAACTCATTCACTCAACACATTCTGAGCACCTACTGTGTGCCAGCACTGAGTGCATGCACCTCTCACATGCAGGCATCAGATGGATGCTCTTGGCCTCGGGTGCAGGCAGGGAGGCCAACGACCCTCTGAGATGTATCAAATATATGGTTGCACCTTGTGGTAACCTCCTCCTGTTTCCTTCCTAGCCTGTATCACATTCTAACCATTGTGCTTATTCGTTTTATTTATTTGTAGGTTATTGGACGGCCTCTCCTGGAGACACAGGAAACTTAATAAGGGCAGGCACTGTGACTACCTTATTTATCTGCCCGTATGTCACCAAGGATCTTATTCGGATCTGGCGGACATCAGGCGCTCCTTGCGCTCTAGGTTAAGAGTAGCAAAGATGCAACCGGGACATTAAATTCCCATCTCTGCCACACGGTGGCAGCAAAAGACAGTGCATGGCTCCCAGAGCACACGCAAAGGTGAGTCATTAGGAGACATGTGGTGTAGGGACGTTTCCCCCAACCTAGGCTCCAGCAGGAAACGCCAAACCCTGCGTGGGTGCCAGCATGGCACGAAGTGGGCATTAACATTGTAAACTGTTGTAACTAGCATAAAGGTTTAACTCAGTGCCTCCCCTGCCCCCAGACTTGAGACAACCCTGGTGGAACAGAGAGTTCAAAGTGGAAACTGGGCCTCAGGGGAAAGGTTCTTCACCAGCCCAAGGGAAGGGAATTAATAATACCACCTTCACCCACCACGTGTTACTTATTATTAACACTGTTCCGCTAATTATTCCTACCACGAATGGAGCACCCCGTTGGCACTTCCTGTCCCTGGCACTATTTTAAAGCTTTATGACCATTAATCCTCAGAACAACCCCTGCAGTGATGAAAACCATTTTGAAACTTGATAGAAGTCATGGTTGCACAACATTGTGAATGCACTAGAAATACCACTGAATCGTACACACTGAAATAGTTAATTTTATGTCATGTGATTTTCACCTCAATTAAAAACCTTATGAAACTCAGGGTGACTAAGACTCTGTCTCAAAAAATTAACAAATAGGCTCAGTGCCCATAGCTCACATATGCCAGGGCTGGAGGGTTGGAACCCGGCCCAGGCCTGCTAAACAACAATGACAACTATAACCAAAAAATAGCTGGGTATTGTGGCAGGCACCTGTAGTCCCAGCTACTTGGGAGGCTGAACGAAGAGAATCACTTAAGCCTAAAAGTTTGAGGTTGCTGTGAGCTGTGACACCACGGCACTCTACCCAGATCAACAGCTTGAGACTGTCTCAAAAAAAAGAAAGAAAGAAAAGAAAAGAAAGCCTGGAGACCCTTCTGATTGAGACACTCTACTGAGGGCAACATAGTGAAACTCTGCCTCAAAAAAAAAAAAATTAACAAATAAAATAAAAACCTTATGAGATCAAAACTCTTATTTTATAGGTAAGGATGCTAAGGCACAGAGAGATAGAGTAACTTGCCCAAGGTCACGTAGCTGGTAAGGAACTTGAACCCAGGACTTCCACTCTCCCATGCCTTCTTTCCCAAGGGCTGAAGCTGAAGTGTCAGGAAGGTGTGATTTCCCAGCTAGGTGGCTTGGCCCCCAGATGAGAAGGCACCAGAAGAATGGCTAGTCCCCTGGGAGTGCTGAGGCAGGAAGCCAATCCTAGGGTGGAATCTGAGGCCTCTATCCATTGCTTCCCACCTGCCCTGCAGGAATGACCCAGCCAAAGCTGCCTGGTGAGGAGGTGGGTTTGGGGAATCCCAGAAACCATCCATGTTTTTAAATATCTTCCCAGCAGACAGGTAACTGCCATAGGAAATTCAGCCATTAGTAATGCATTTATCTGAGTACAACACAAGGCCCAGTCCCAACACAGATGCCCCTGGAAGGCATTATACAGGGCAGTATCCTGAGCTGGATGACACCAAGAACAGTAAGAATAAGGAGGGGGAGGACCAGACCCTTGGAAGGACATGAGGGGCCCTTGATCTGGGCATTGGAATACATATGGGCCCTGGGGTAACACTGAAGCTGGAGAGGGGGAGGCAAACAGGGTGAAGCCCCCCTTGCTTATTGTGCCAAAATACACCGAACACAAAAGTTACCATTTTAACCATTTCTGAATGTATAATTCAGTTTCTTTTAGTACGTTCATGGGGTTGCGCAACCACCACCATCATCTAGTTTCAGAAAGTTTTCATTGTGCCAAAAGGAAGCTGTCACCCCTCCTTCCTTCCTTCCCTCAGGCCTTGGCAACCACTCTCTGCTTATCTGCTTCCTGGAGGATATCTCTTTTGTACTGGGGCTGCCTCTAACTTGTGTTCCTTCTTCCCTCTTTTCAGAGCAGAGCTTAGGGGCCACCTGGATTTGGGAGCCTTAAAGGCCATTGTGGTCATTGTCAGGGCTGCTGTGCAGGCAATAGTCCTGGTCCTGGGGGGAGTCTGATCCAGAGGGCTCCACAGCCAGGTACCACCCACTTGACCCACGGTCTGGTCCCCAAGTCAACCGAATGGTCCAAAATTAGAGATCCCTTAGTGTGAAGAAATGGGGGGGGGGGCAATGGTGGATCTGAGGGGACCGGTGACCTGGTGATCCAGGTACTGGTGACCAAGTGGGATGTGAGTTCTGTTCCTGCCACCTCCCAGCTTTGTGGCTACAGGGACCCCTCATCTAAAGTGGGGTCACATAAAACATTATCCAGCCTTAAAAAGGAATGAGGAACTGACACCGGCTTCACCACGAGCAACGCTGGAAGACATGGTGCTCAGTGAGAAAAGCCAGACACATCAGGCCAGTACTGTGTGATT